TTCGGTTCTTCAGTTTTCGGGTCAAATCGAGTTCGGTTCCAGGTTATTCGGTTCGGGTTATCGGGTTCGGGTCTGTTTTGCCAGGTCTAATTTTAAGATTACTTTTCAATCTTGTCCAAATTTATACCAAGAGGCGGCTAGAAAAAATGTTGAACGACTTTTTGATGTTCTAAAGCAACGGTGATACATTGTTCAAAACTTGACACATGCTTTCCAAGTAAAAAAGTTGAGATACATTATGTATGCTTGTATCTTATTAAACAAGATGACACTTGGAGACGAATGGCGAGTACGACCGAAATGATGTTTGTGAAAATGGTGGGACATACAGTTGACACGGAGCAACAAGAGTCATATAGGTTGGCATTACAGAACCCAGTACCCGGATATAGGGGTGGACACGGTACGGTTCCGGTTCCGGAACCGCCGGTTCCGGTACTGCCACCCCATGGCACCGGCACCGTGACCGGACCGGCCGGTACCGGTTCTGGTTCCCGGACCGGCGGTTCCGGTACCGGACCGGCCGGTTTCGCCTCCCCCCCTTTTTTTTTGCTTTTTTAAAAATTTTTAAAAAAATTTTAAAAATACAGAGTATTTTCACCTACCCGTTCTCGTCGTCTCTCATTTGAGGCCACTCCTTCCTCTGAATGAAGAACCAACCCGATGGCAAACGAGTTCCCTGAGTTATTGTTGGATTTGTTGCCATTGTTTTAGGTGGATTTGTTATTATTCCATGAGTTATTGAATGAAGAACCAACCCGATCTCCAATTATTGTTGGATTTGTTCCCTGGATGAAGAACCAACAACCCGATGGCCGGATTTGTTGCAGGTGCAGGAAAAAAAACAAAGTAACGGTACCGGCGGTTCCGGGACGAAAATTTGGGTACCGGTACCGGTTCCCGGAACCGGTGTGACGTACCGTGCGACGGTAACGGTAGATGGTACCGGCGGTACCGTTGCCGGTAACGGTACCGTACCAGTACCGTGTCCAGCCCTACCCGGATATGCATTTCTGCCTCCGTGCCGATTTGATAGATCACATGTGGTATTCGAATAATGAAATTTATCACAATGAGTAGTTTTTTCTATCTAGTATCTCACACATTTTTTATTTATGAATTGCCTTGAGGGGCGTTGTTCACTTGAGTCACTACCAAGGTGGCAAAGCCATCTCAACTCACGAAAGCCACGCCGTGGTGCACTAGTGCGCTACGCATGGCCTAATTATGATAATAGTTATAGGATGGAGAGAACAGTGAAAATACATTCGCACCATATTAAGTTACTCTCTAAGGTTGCCCTCTGTTAAAATTGTATTCTATTTATTATTTATATTTTAGTTAAAATAAGATTATATTAAACTAGATCAAATTGAAAAATATCATATTAGATCCAATTATATTAGATCAGATTCATTCAGATCAAATCAAATCAGGTCTCATCCAATCGTATTAGATCCATTTAGATCAAATCAATCTAAAAAATTGAAAGTAATGTTAATATTTTTTCTATAGTTAAATAATAATTCTTATACGCGTCGATCATCTTACGATATTTAGTGTTGGATATTAATAATGGATAAATTTTGTTAACACTAACCCTGGTTCAGACTACGGTGCTATTGTACTTTCGGTGCACTCATAGTGTTTCTTTTGTAAAATTGATGATTCATGAACCTCCTTAATCTTCGGTAAACCCCCCACCCTAGTCTGATCGAAAAAACCCATCCCCCGCCCAGCACCTGCAATTTCATCCCCCAATTTAATTGATTTTGTGGTCAAATTTTTTCTCCAAAGTCAACTAAATTTGGGAGATGAAATTGAAGGTGTTGGGATGGGGGAGGGCTAAGGGGGTAGTTCATGTCGGGTCCGGTGGGGAAATTTACCGAGGGAGTTAGGGGCTGTAACACCCTGAGCCACGTGACTCGAATACAAGGACCAGCGAATCGATTTGTCACTAGATTGACATCCAAACACACTAATTTTCAAACCAATTTAAAACATTTAATTCAAATCCATATTCAAAACATCCATCGGAATTTACAAACTGTGTGGAAGCTTAAGTACTTTAATCAAAATACAACTCTGGTTTCTTGCCTGAAAACATAATAAATTCAAACATAAATATTGATTAAATAAAATCATCATCCAACATCCATCAATCCCCATATCCTCGCTTCCCTCCAAGATTATTTCCTCATTCGTTATTCCTGTTACTTACGTGTAGCAAAGAGGAAAAAGGGTTACACGCTCAGCATTGAAGATAAGTGAGAAATATATAACATTTCGACTATGCATACAAATGAACTCACTAGCTCATAATTTCATACAATATCGTGCACACAAGTACAACATCAATAATATCAATAATATCAAACAATCCATAAAACAAACGTACTTACTTGGATTACCAAATTTATCATATTTGTAACTTAGGCATTTATGACACAGAATCCATATGCAAAGCTCATAACCAATCTTTCTTAATTCTAAGCTCATAACCTATCATAGGTTAAGGCCAATTATTTATTTTTTCTAGAGTCTTGATTCAACCACATCCATGAAAGAACTTGCTCGATACAACGACATCCAACATCGACTAGGTGGGATCACAAACTCACATCCATGAATAGATGCACGACCCCCGTACCCATGGTTTACCCAAGTGATCATGCATGCACCTCGGCTCATCAAATGACCAGTAATTCCTAACTGTATTCTTATCATGTTTCTTTGTCTACCTATAGTTTAGCTAGGTAGCCTATCCATATTCAAGTTCATACTTTTGTATTCTTAAACTCATACTTCCTCCGTCACAGAGTATTTGTCCACTTTCATTTTTACACACCATCCAATACACTTCTTTAATCCATTTTATCTTGTAATTTTTATATTAAAAAATTATAGAAATTATATATTAACAATCTATATGTTAAGACAAATCAAACAAGATCACACATGACTATATTTAGGCTTACACATTGGGAAAATTTGATGAGTCAAAGTGCTTAGATGAACAGTTCCAAAAGTCAAAAGTGGACGAATATAGCGGAACGGAGGTAGTACATAATATTAATAGTTCGCGGCCTAGCGTCGGGTATAAACACCTTCCACTTACTGTCATGCAACACATGTTAGGCGTGTCGTAGCACCTATAAATTAATTTATTATTTCCTTAACTTTTAACCCCCTTTATGATTCAATATTCATCAAAACATATAGATAGGGCAAGTAAGGGTCGATTCCACGAGTAAAGATACTTTTAGGCTATGAAAATCAGTTCACTTGTCACTTTTATTGAATAAAAACTACTCCGTAACTAAAATCTAAAAACTAACTAAAGTAGCAACTAAAAATAAACTAACAGATATGGGGGGGGGGGGGTTTGAAAGATAAATTTAAAAGGACATAAAAACAAATAAAATAAAGATAAAGGATAACAGATAAGAGATAAGAGCCAGAACCACAACAGCAACTCAAACTCAGAAGAACACTCATGGAGAAACCAACACACAAAAACAATCACACAATAAATTTTATAAAAACGTAGACAATAATAATTAACTTAAACCATTTTGAAAATACGTATAGTTTTTAATAGAAAATAACCATAACAAATCTGATTAATCAATTAATTCTGTCTTAATCCTGAAACTAAACTGCTAATCAAACTCAGGGTTAAGCTGAAGAAGAGGTCCACATGCGGTTCTTTCCTATTCTCCCTAATATAGCCTATGTCTTCTCTAGACCCTACTATTCTTAACAATCCAAGGACCTGCCCTCAGATTTAATTAAAAATAGAGCATTAAGTTCTTTGGAAAACATCACTTAACAACTATGCAGTAGACTATATCTATTTAACACAGCCAGCTTGAAAACTCTAATTAATAAAAACCAGGTAGAGCCAATTAAGTATTAACCAGGTGACACTTGTGTTTTAAAAATCTCAGCTATAAACGTACTCAAGATCTTAAAACTGTCAATTGGAAATTTGGAATTAGAGTTTAGGCGGCCGTCCTAAATTGATCTAATCCAAGTTTAAACAAAGACCAGTTTTCAAACACCTTTTCGAGTTTAGATTTGACAGTAGCGCAAAGGCTAAAATTCCTTCAAGGTCAAATTAATCCAACAAAAACAACCAAATCAAAGATTCAATCTTTTTTGTCAAACGATCCGGCCTAAAAAGGTTTCATAATTTCAGAGACAATAATCAATCAATAAAGGAAAATGCTAGGGGTAATCCAAAGATGTACCTCATTTGTCCCCCACCCCCTCCATTACCACTTAAATAGGCAAGAAATTTAAAAAAAATTAAGTAAATAAAAATAAAAAATAAATAAGTGGTTATGGAGGAGGTGGTGTACAAATGGGGTAGTTTTTGGTGTACCTCTAGCATCTCCCATCAATAAATCATACTTAACAATTCAACATCAACACACATACAATTCAACATTTGTAATATAACTTACACATTCAACAAACATAGAATTGAAAGTAAACATATTTAATACTGACAATCAAATTCATAAATTGTGAAACTTATAAATTGGAAAGTCTTAATTAAAGAATGAAATTAAAAAGGATAAAATTGCTCCCTGAGTATTGCTCCTTCATCCGTTCGTTCACTGCCAAAGAAAAGAAATGGCTGCCAAAGAAATTTCTCCATCCATGGCCGCCGCTCAGAATATGCCTAGGGTCGGAGTTGCCGTCCAGACCTCCCGTCGTCGTCACCGCTGTGCAATTGCCGTCGCCGGACCTAGGGTCGGAACCCTAGGTCGGCACCTGCTCTGCTCCGATCTGTTCTCTCGTCTCTATCCGTCTCCGTATTCAACCCATTCTTTTTGCTTCTTTTATACACAAATTAATTCAGCTTTAGTCTTCAATTTGGATTAGGACTTGAAATTAGAGATGGAGTTGTAGAAGAAGGCTATCCGGTTGATTCTGGGGCTCCTACCTCTTCTACGTTTCTTTCTTTCTTTTTCTTTTATTTATTTCCTTGCTTAACAATTGGGTCAAAAGGGTGATGGCCAATTAGATGTCTGGGCTTGGCCCAATCCT